ATATGTAAAATTTTACATAATCAAGTTCACTCAAGAATAGAACTGAAAAGCTGTTAATGGTAGTTATCTTTAGATGCTAGGATTACTGGCAGCAGTATACTAATAAAATGTTTAATAATTGGTTCTGTGCTCACAAGAGAAATAAACCTAAGATATTGGTTAATTTATCCATTGGTATAAGGAATATAATATAAGGAAAATATGAAAACAAAGGATTACCAAAAAATATATTTTTAAAAGCTGTGCATTTTTGCCTTTGTTGGTTTCCATAATTTGCTGATTTTTGTATTAAAGTCTACTTTCAATCTACCAAGTTAATGTCAACCAGCTCATAAAGTTTTAACTGTTAAAGGCCAGGATGTCAGCTGGCTTTGGCACATCACTGATTAGATGAGCTCTACTTTCTCTTTTATATTTCTCTTTTCAAAATGTCTTCAATGATAATAATGGTCTCCCCTAGGAATAGACCCTGAATAGCAAGGAACAAGGATGGAAGGAGAGTTTTTTCTCTTCATAACCTTCTGTGCCTTCTAAAGTTTGAATCATGGGATATATTACTCATTCAAAAAATGAGTAGGGGGAGTACTTGGGATTGAACTCATGACCTTATGCTTGCCAGGCAGGTGCTTACATTGCTGAGCTAAATCCCTGTCCCCTAAAACTTTAAATTTTAAAATATTTCATTAAGTATTTGTTACCTTACTTAGTAATTGTGATTGAAAGAAGTAGGTGATGTTTTTCATATCTGAACATGCAATTACTATGTATGCATACAGATGAAACATTTAAATATAATAATATATCTTATATTAGAAGCCAAAAGGAATGACATGCATTTTATAAATGCATTGGGAACTAATGAAAGAAATGTAATGTAAACTAGAAATATCAGTAACATAATCACAGAAATAGGAGCAGAATTTTGAAATATGAGGAGGATTTGAACAAGCTGATAAAGAGAGGTGACAGTCCCACTCTTCTCCTTATTAGATTTGAGAACAGGTTTCATGAGAGCCAGGAACTCACTGCAATTCGTCTTGTGGAGAAAAGACTAGAGTCAAGAGCTGGAATAAGGAGGAGAGCGATAGCTCACATCACCTCTAGTAATAACGTTGATGTTTATTTAGTGTTTATTCTCTGCAGACACTTTGTAATCTCACTCACAGAGTCTAAATTCACACGTTCTTGCTCTTGAGCTTTCTACTGCAGGCAAGAACATGAGCTCAAAAGAAGACCCTGAGCACATCTTCATGCAACCTCTAATGAAAAATCAGAAAAATGATTATCCATTGGCAGGGCACGCAGAAGACCTCTAAGTATCATGAACTATTAAGAAAAAAAAAAAAAAAAAAAAAAACCTTACCAGTGGACCTGCGCTAATCACTGCCAGTTGAGGTGACTGAGTTACACAGAGAAAAGCCTTTTAGTGGAATACCAAGGTTTCATACACAAGAGACTACTGGCATACTGAGCAGGAAAACATGATTGCACAGGACTGCACCAAACATTACTGCAGTGAAGGTCTCTAAGAGATGCACTACTGTTTAAAAGTCTTTTGCACCTAGATGCATGCTATCTTGTCCCATAGATCTCTCTGTAAACCACTTTTTATGCTTTGGGATTAAAATATCCTCCAAAAGTCTCATATATTTAGTGGAGGGATTTTGGAAAGCAATTAGGTGAAAGGGAACTATCCTCATGAGTGGATTAATCCATTGAGTCCTAGGCTGGTAAAAGGTGAGGCATGTTTGGAGGGGTGGATCCACTAGTGGGCTGTATGTATTCTTGGCACTAGGACCCACTTTCTCTATCACCATGTATAGCGCAGCTTCCCTGAACCATGGCAATATGCGACTTCTGCCGTGTACCCACTCGACTACAAACTAAAACCCTGACACAAAGTATGAGCCAAATTATAATTCTCCTCTTGCAAAGTGTGGGTGTCAGGTATTTTATCTTGGCAATGGGAAACTGACTAATACAACACTTTATTTTTGTGTGAAACAGAGTAGAGAACAAACAAAAAAAAATTCCTGGAAATAATGAATCTTTTAAAGAGCTAAGTAAAGATAAACAGTAACAACAAGAAGCAAACATGGTTAGAGGTCAGCTGAGTGGCACAAGCGCCTGCTTGGCAAGCATGAGTTCTTGAGTTCAATCTCTGGTCCCTACCACCACCAAAAAAGAAACAAACAATATGAGTCATAATGCAGGGTCTATCAGGTGATAGGAGGCTCAGAGATACAATGGTAAAAACAGTAGACTCAAAAACAGATGAAGTGGATTTGGCCCCTGACTCTGTCACTAATTAGCTAGGTGTTGCAGTGAAAAAAATAGAAGAGAACCAGCCCAAAGATCTCCATAGGCATTGAGATGGCACAGTACCTAGGCTCAACAGGCTGGCTCTATTACCATGAAACCTGAGTTTAAGCCTCATCCCACTTAACTCGTGTAAATGCCTTTCCAACAATATAACACTTCTGAGTCTTGTTTTTCTCATCTGAGTCTTAATAAAAGAATGAGAGTGTTGACCTTGTGTGTCCATGGACCATCTGTAGATTTTTTTTTCTCTAATATTTTCAAGTGTGTATGTGGATTTGTAAATGAGGAACCTGAGGTACAAAAAAAGTGAAGCAATTTGCATAACATCACAAAGCCAATAAGTGGTAAAGCTATCACTAGAATACAGAGTCTACACTGTTAACCACTTCTGAATACTAATGATAAAATAAACTAATGCAGCACTGTGCCTGACACATGGCAAGTCTTTAACGGGATTGTTAGCTTACTCAGAAAGTGAAACTAAATTCTTTTTTTATGTAATGGAAATATGTATTATATCTCAATGTGGTATTTGTTCAGCCAAATTTTATTAAATTTATGGAAGCTACAAAGGTAAGGAGAATAAGTAAAATAAATTATAGACATAACTAGAAAGTGTGAGAACGAAGCACAAAGATCTATGCATAATTGTATTCACCTCACTGTAGTATTATTCCTTAAATACAAAAATTGAGTTAAAAATAAGGAACTGATCAAACAACACATGGTAAATTTACACCCATAGACAAAATGATTGTATTAAAATATAACAGAATTTCATTGGTTTCTTTTTGGTTATGAGGTTTATATAAGTTTTTCTATTTCATTACACTTGTCATTTAACAAATTTTGTATAATGAAAACATACTGCCATAATTTTGAAATTATTTTAATTAAAGTGAGAGGATACAAAGCCTTACATATAACAGTAATAAATCTACTGCATAGTAAGACTAAGAAAGGATGTTCCTGAGAGCAAATCATTTGATGAAGTTAGGTAGTACTTCACCTGTCTATATCTTTACAAAGCTAAAAATGCTAAGAAAATTTTCAAACTATTTTAGTAAATATAGTTGGAAAGTAGATGCCAATTATAAGAGGTCTGTGCTGGTCAGACATGTATACAGTTACTCTGTTCTTCTGGGGACCAACAGAATACTGACCATCTGGAACCCAAATAAATGAGGGCAACAAACAAATGAAGTCTGACCAGCAAGCCTCAAAAAGAGCAGGTGGAGTTACTACAGAAACAAAATGGGTAAAAACAAAAAGAAGCAGCAGTAGCCATCACACGTGAAAATAATGTCATCTTGTAAAAGCTGAGTGAGTTCCTTGTCTGCACAAAAAGACAATGAAAGAAAATTACAGGGAGGAAAAATCTAGTGTGCAAAATAAAGAGATTTTCTTAGTAAGCAAAGATAATCAGCAATAAATCCAGTTGCTCTGCAACAGAAACAATCTTGGTTTATTATATGTGACTCGTGTTACCTAAGAACACAACTAACATGAACAGAGGCCCAATGCTGCCCCTGGTCTCAATTACCTAAAGAGGAGCTCTATCCCTTAACAGAGGAAAGCCCAGTAATCCTTTGGAAGTCGAACTTCATTCCCTTCCTCACTCTGCCTCAGTTTTGAGCCACTCAGCAGGATGACACCCTTCCTTCAAACACAGGCCAGGAAGTGCAAAGAATGGAAGCTAAGTGATGGGCCGGGGAAAATGGGACCCCAAGGCCCAGAAAGCAAGGCAAACAGGACCTTCATCCTTCAGACTTGCTATAGTTTGCTCTTCTTATACATTTGCTTGTGTTTGCCTTTAGACATTAGCAATGATTTGCAAGGCCCAGTCTATATCACATTTTAAGAACAAATACGAAGGTTTCTACTCACACTTGACCAGGATCATTAAAGCTGTAATACATGTACAACATATTAGATATAAAAATTCTTTATGCTTCTTCACAACAACCTATTAAGTAGATACTATTATTATCTCAATTTAGAAAGTCACAGAGGCTATATTACTTGCCCAGGGTCCACAAATACAACTGTGGTTATTTCAGCAGGAAAGAACCACTTTAAGGTGCATGGTATTGTTTAGTTGCAATCATATATATGAATGGATTCTTCCTTTCTCCACCCTCCTTCTCACCCTTACAGTCAACAGCTTTCTTAATGATGTTTCTACATATGAGGGAAGGTGGAAGATACTAGAAAGCAATTTTATTCAACACATATCCAGAAATATAGCTGTAACTGCTACAGTCTGTAAGGTAGAAAAGAAGTTATCTGTCTGTGGTTAAAATTATAAGACTATTAAACTCTAAACCCAACAATTTCACAAAGGAAGAGAACACAGTACTTTTCTGGGCACTGATTCAAATTAAAAAGCAGTAAGTTTAGCCTTAACACTGACAAAGATACCTTTTAAGGAATATAGAAATTAACAAATTTATTTCAGGAATGGTGACTTGAATGAGCTCATAGCAGCCTAAAAAGTGATAGAGTTTCCTCTATTTTTATGCAGATCTCAATAATTTGTCTGTGATGTTACACAACACAGCAAACCACTCTGCTTAAAATCCACACTAAATATATCATAGCTTCCTTTGCTTACTTCTCTTTTATATATTCATTTAACAATGCAGTGAAAACACAGGAAACCCCAGCAGTGCACTTACCTATGATCCAAGTGGTGAATAGAAAGAATAACTCCTGAATTTAAGTGCATCTGTTTCAAGGTCACCAACACAGTAAATTCATGTTTGTTTTTCAGCTTCTGGAAAAACTTTTCAGCTGTATCAGTGGATGCCTTTATGCTTCTGGGAGTATCTAAAAAAATACATAAATATTTGTTTAGAACAGATTAGAGTTTGTCTTTATAAAGTATATTTTAAATATAACATCTTTGAGAGACCCAAAATATAAATTAAAGAGCAAAATAAAAACTAGATGATAGGAAACAGGGAGACATCTTTTGATAATTGGAAGGGGACCAACAGAGGGAGGGACTGAGGAGGGAAAGGGACAATTAAGACGTGGTATGTACATGTAACAACCCCCCATGAAGAGTGTAATATTGTGCACACAAACATATACCAATAAAAATCCAACATCTATCAATAAATTTTATCAAAGAACTGATAAATATCAAAGTTTAGACTCGATAAAAACTCAAAGATATATATATATAATATTAAAATATACCACTTATATCACAGGCCAGCGGAATGACTGGTACTAAGGGAGCCTTATTTCAAGAGACTTTTTCAAAATGTCAGCTTATTTGAAGAAGTGCACTTCCAGTTTTCTCTTGACATATTTCTATACGTCAGAAACTGTTATGGATTAAGAAGTGGCGATCAACTTAACGCCTACATCAGCATGGATTACATCAGCATGGCACTGAGGGAAGATGCTCCCCCTGAGGAAAGTTGCCAGCATAAATAGGTGGAGTAGGAGAAGCAGGGTGTTGAGGCATTACTGCGTTACTGCATTGAGGCATCGTGGACTCTCCTACGAGTTGCTGTTTGAGCCGTTAGATTCTCCTGGAGAAGCTTTGGTCCTCACATCGAGCATTGCTTCCTGGCTCCAAGAGGAGAAGATGTGTGCTGCTTGGTCTCCAGGATAAACTCATAGCACTAGCTTCCTGGCATGTACCTGACTGTGCTTGTCATCAGAGGAGCTCGGGACCTCTGTGTCGCTGAGGATGGCTGTGGTGCTTTTCAGGACAGCCTTAGTCTTGTTGTGAGTGTGATTTTGCGGCTCCAGCATAGAACCCTCATCCCACCAGCACAGCTCCTTCACCCCACTGGCATAGACTTTCTGGCTTCCACCACTGACCTTTGGGCCTTTCCAGCACAGATCAGTAAAAGAGACTGGCGTGAGTCCTCCTTGTGGGCTCTGGACCTCCAGTTGGACTCATGGGAGGCATTGTCATGAGCTCTAAGTTTTCATCTGGACTCATGTGGGACATTGCTGTGGGATTTAGGCCCTTGACTATTTTTATGTTTTTGTTGTTGCAGAGAGATTTCCTGCATTTTCTTGTGTTAACTCCTGGTGACCATTATAAAAATAATATTATAAACTCCATGCCCTGATTCTAATTGTTCTCTGCATAACCCCTAACTACAACAGAAACTATAGTCATATCACTATCAATAATGAGCAGAAAGATGAACTTCCCACAATAGGGCTTAAAGGACCACTATAACCATTTAGCGTTTTCACACTTCCTGACAGAAAAGTAAATTTAAATCTCTGTGTCACTCTCCACATTGATGTCTTTAGCATAATACTTGGTATAGGTTAAAAAAAATCAGTTGAAATTAGTCAATTTCAACCTTCTATAAAGTAGATGAAACTTTTTGTTCGTTTGTTTTTTGGTACTGGGGATCAAACTCACAACCTAGCACTTGAGAGGCAGAGGCTTACAGCACTGAGCTAAACCCCAGCTGGATGAAGCACTACGATCAAATTACTTCACCATATGTTTTTTTAAAGAAATGCATAGTCCTTAATTCCCAATCCCTTCTTTCCAGGCTGAGAGAAAGTCTAACCAAGGAAAGTTTGCCTAGGCAATGAGAAATTTTACTCTGTGCTTTCATATCATTTATTCTTCCAATGCAACCTAAGAAGTCAGAGATCTCAGAAGATATGGAAGAAACAGGGATAGAAATAGAGTAGGTGGGTAAGAAAATCCTGTCATTCGAACAACTCATTAATTTTAAGCACAAGGTTTTCTTATTCATAGCATGTCCAAAAAGTTAATAGGAATGAACAATGAGGCTTGTGTACTGATTAAAAAAATTATCCTCTAATTTTCCACACATCAGACTAGATAAGCAGTTTTCAATAGTTTTCCTTTCTTGTTCAGGACTGTCCTGTGCATTACAGAACAGTCAGCATTCTGTCCCCTACCACACCAAAGAATGCTAGTGGCACCCAATCTTCAGGCATTGTAAAAGCCCAAAGTATTCCCACACATTTCCAAACACTCTGGCAATCCATGTAGCAAAAATCCAGCAGAGAATCACAGCCTTATTGAAAGTATGGCTATACAATTCATCCAAATTCTCCACTTTTCAATGCCCACAAATGTACAAAACAAAAATGTAATCACCCTATCTGTGTTCATTACCATGGATACAAAGGTATGAAGAAGCCAGTATCAGCAATGAACTCACGCCCACAGTTTTTGTTCAAACTTTTAGGAAAAAGAAACTTTCGTGTAGCATAAAGAAACATCCAAATATTACCTCCATATTTACAAGTTAAAGGTGTAACAATAATCTACAAATCCTACTATGGTTAACATAATAGCTTCTCCTCAGTTTCCACCAGATATAAAATAGCTATGGAGAAGATTCCACACAATTCCCCCTAGCTTCAAAACTTCCTACTTCCTCAAGAAAGCATACAAAATGTAATTCTCTGAGAATGATTGCATCTAGTGTGAGCTTTAATCCACTAATTTATACAGAATCTTCTTCATTACTTGGTTTTAATTTGGTAGATAAAAGCAAATGAAATTAAATTATAAATATGTATTAGGGTTCTCTTCTTTTCAGGCAGGTACAACTTGAGCAGCATCCTTTGCCTGGCCAAGCAGGATGACACATGAGGATGCAAATCAGAGAAGCAAAGAAGGACCACACTGAATATATAAATGATGGTCAGACCCACAGAGAGACCAGAAGTTGTGGTAAGGATGGCTTGAGTGGTTGGTCTATTCACAAGAGAAAAAGAATTTAGAAATGTGTGTCAGCTCTCTTACAAGGTAGAACTTTAGAAAGCAAAAGATTTTAGGTAATTTTATTGCTTGATATGCATAGAAGAACCTGCATTAAATCTCCATATTATTCTCTATTGCTTTTGAAGTCAGATTTGTGAAGTTAATGTATATTTTTGTTATTGTTGTTTTTCAATTTGATTTTATTTTTTAGATTAAATATCACATAAAGGTTAGCCTTAAAATTGAAGAAGGGTTTAAGAGGCTAGTTTCTAATGAGTATCATGAAGAAAATTGTAAATCACTATGGTAGAAAACACAATGAATAAAACTATAAGTAAAGGAAAATCATTTAAAAAACAGAACAACCTGTATTTGGGATAATTTTCTCTGGTGGTCATATGGAAGATTATCTGAAGAAAAGGAAGGAAAACAGGAAAAGTCTTGAGAAGTTTGGCAATTCAGATCATCTGCATTTATATTATATTTCACATATTGTAAGCATCATTTTGACAGTCCTAAACTACCATTGCTCAATCAAACTGCTAGTTTTCACTTTGACTGGAATCAGTGATAGAGAGCACTGCTTGTCAGGCTGTCCCTGAGGGAAGGGCCAGGTAAACACCAAGGAGCCTAATGATCTTCATGGAGCTGCTTAGGGAACCTGCAGAATACAACTGTCCTGCATCCCATCAGGATGCTAAGTGAGGTCCTCCCCTCCCTCCACTCAGTTTCAACGTGCAGTTTATTCATTCAAATAAGGACATAGCTCAAGGCAGGACCACTTAGTGCATTCAACCTCCCTTCCCAGGTCTTTATCTTGCTGCTTTGCTGTGTCATTTATGGGAACAGAATGACATACAGAAAGAAGATCTACAGCATGAACATGGTTACTAGAAGACCTGTTTAACACAGACTGCAGTGATAAGAAAGATACTACTCTTTCTTTCAATTCTAATTAATCAAGTTCATTGCACAAATATTTAAAACCTGAGGATTTCCTGGGCTTCCCACTTGTATTAGAATGAGAGAGAGGGTGGCAGACCAACAAAAGGAAGGAAACTTGACCTGAGTCCTCATACTTCAGGATGGTCTCCTCACTTGGCGCTCAAGGCCAGGGACCCAAAGACATAGGTAAAGATCTAGAGCCTCTCTAGATTGGTGATGGCAAACCTGAAAGCCCTTTCAGAGCTTTCAAGGATACAAACACCGGCATGTGTGCCAGAGGTTCACCACCACTGCAGAGACAGTACCCAAGCAGTACAAGTCATGATCACATTATAATTCTCAGTCCTCCACACATATAACATTTTTGCCACCAACTCTTACTTTTCCCTAATAATATTTAAATCTGTTTCTCTCCTTACAAAGATTTTTTCAACTAGTCATCATGCCTGAGTCCAGCAAGGATTTCATGTGGGCCTGAGAACTCTGAGAGGCAGTGAAACAGATGGGAGCAGTGAGTTTCAGGAGATAATTAGAAAATAGAACCTAAAGTACTTGGTTACTGATAAACCACATGCAAAAAGGTAAAAGAAGTGGAGACAAATGAATTCAGTCAAATCCAAAGTTTATGGTTTGAGGGACTGAGTGAAAGTAAATGCAGTTAGAGCATGATGGTTTCCATACGGTTCCAGAAATAGTAATGTTAAATTGTTATGAGACAGGCACATGGAAGTGCCCAGTATGAAGCTAGCACTTCAGAATCTTATCTTACAAGAAATCAAAGTTGGCAATATAGATTTAGAAGTCATCAAAATATGGTATCTAAAGTCATTTCTTTAGTAATCATAGGAACAAGAGAAGGATAAAAGGATAAACCAAAGAAACATTAAACTAGGGGCACAGCAGGGACTGAAACTATAACCTGCACACACACACACACACACACACACACACACACACACACACACACACACACACAATGATGTACATGTGATATTATACAACATTTTTAAAAAATTGTCACATTTTCCCCTTTGAATTCACATTACATTTTGCTCTCATGAAGCTCTGAAATACTACTACTTCATTTTTCAGTGAGTTAAATAAAAAAGATAAGAGATAATCCCATGTTCACCCAAAGACACCCAGCAAGTTC